TAAGAAACATAATGGGCATAGGTTGCGTGATTAGAAACGATGATGAAGGTGACTTTATTGCTGCTAAATGTATTCCATGGAAAGTGATGGATAGCATACTAGGTCTGGGCCATATGGGTCGGCCCAATAAAGCAATTGGACCAAGGAAGTTCAAGGACACATAGTACGGAGCAACCCAAGAGTTTGTCAATGATTGGACTTGTTATTTCCCATATAATTAGAATTGGACTCATTATTTATAGTACAATAGAATTAGGTCTCATTATGTACCTAAGAATCCCAATATGAGGCAGTCTAGAATTCTTATTCCTTGTAGGGCTCTAGGCCCAAAATATGTATAAATGGACTCCTCACATAGAGGAGTAGGGGACAACTCTGAATATTCACAAACAATATTCTTCAATACAAAGTTCATATATTTCTCCTATATTTTTCCTATTTTCTCATCATTCTAACGGTAGTGTTGGCTTGTCGTTGACCGCCGAAAAGTCGTAAAACCAACATTGGCGCCATCTGTGGGGATCGAAATGAAAAGCTTTCGTTCGTTCCTCAAACCCCTGAAAGCATGGTAACCACACGACGAAATACTCGAATTGACCGATCGGTCGCTAGACTCGTTAGAGATTCGAGAGAATTCCTCAGTCGACCCCCCTCACAGGTACCATCTGGTTAGCAGATTCCCCTTGAGAGGGAAACCGAACTGGGAGATCCCCGAGAAGAGGAGGAGGTACACTCGAACGCACGCCCACCAGCTGTCAGCGTCTCACGAACCCAACTAGTGGAGCTCCCACCCGAGATAGTGGAGGCCGCTGCGCGCTTCCTAGAGCCCTACATCATGGCCATAACGCGAGGGCAGAATCCCCAGAACAAGTAAACGACACCACCCGAGTTGCCAACGCGAATCAACCACCTGAAAGAGTACAAATATTGGCTCCACCCCAGGGACACCATCGCACGGTCTCCGTTCTTGACCGTATAAGGCCCCCAAATCAACGGACAACCGTCTCACAGCTTGAACTGGGAGAAACCACGGTAGAAAGCTCGCAACAAAGAGCTAGACAGAACCCCCAACGAAGAGTTGAGGCTACCCAGGTGACTGGTCATCGCATGGAGAGACTCCAAAACTTGGCCAGGGGAACCGAGATCAAGAGATGGCAGAACTCGCCAAAGAAGTAAGAAACCTCCAAAGGAAGGTTGAAGGTGGGAGAGACCGGCCAACCGCTCGATCTCTGTTATCAGCAAGTCCATTCTCTATAAGGATCCAAGAATATCGCGCACCAAGAGACTTCAAATGCCCAAAAATGCCTACTTACGATGGAATGGAGGACCCCTGCGATCACCTGGTCAGCTTCCAAGCAAAGATAATGGTAATAGGGGCGGAAGACCCCATGTACTATCGCGCCTTCTTCTCTACCCTGGGAGGGGCAGCGCAGCGCTGGTTCCTATCTCTACCGCCACGATCCATTGACCGCTTTGAAACCCTGGCCGAACAATTCCTAACCTACTTTGCGAGAAACATGAAAACAAAGAAGCACTTCATGACCTTGACCGCCATTCAACAAGGAGAAACTGAGACACTAAAGGAATTCTTAAAAAGATGGCAGAAAGAGGTACAGACAGTTGAAGACTTGAACGATTGAACGACTCTCACTTTGTTCATGGAGGCCCTGAGATCAGGTGATCTGTTCACCAGCCTACAAAGGGAGACCCCAGAAACATATGCACAGGTCATCAAGCGGGCCAACAAATACGTAGAAATAGACGAGGCTTTGGGACAAAAACGAAGGCGTGAGGCAAAACTCCCACGTGATGAGGCAAGAGCACGTCTAGCGAACCGATCGTCCAGATGGGAAGACAGACCCAACACCGACTAAGGGTCACCCCCCTCGACACAGAGTAGTCCTCGCCTTCGGACCCAAACCAGTGCATGAGGTTCAACCGCCCTGACCAACGGGGAACAAACCAAGAAGATGCATTCAAGGTAGCTCAAGAAGCTCTATCAATTGTTGGGGAAATAATCTCGTGCAGTTAGTTACTATGTACACTATACTATTATATTATAGTATCATAATAAAGCTATCAGTTCGATTTAAAAGGTTATCACGGACAGACTGCATAGGTGGACTGGTCGCCCTGACTGATCATCTAGGCGGACTAATCATCTAGTTTGGTCTTCCTAACACTCAGTGGTCGACAGACCTTCCCAACTCTCAATGGTCGACTCGTCTTCCCACCACCCGGTGGTCGACGGACCTACCCATTTCTCAAAGGTGAACTCGCATTCCTACCACTCGATGGTCGACGAACCTTCCTACCTCTCAGTGGTCGAATCGTCTTCTCACCTCTCGGTGGACAGTTCACAACCAGATCACGAAGCAGTAATCAAATTATGGTAAAACAAGCAAAGATGACTGTCGAAAGAAAGAACCTGGCGATATCAGGTGAAGGAAAGTCTAATAGATGACAGGGTGTAGGGGTCTAGTGTAGAGTCTAGGGGTTATAGGAGAGAAGTCTAGTCGGTATAAAGTCTATGGCAAAGTCTAGGAATCATTAGGGTATAAAGCATGATCGGTGGTCAAAATGGAGTATGGAATCACAAATCTGAGAATGGGAGACGTTCTCAAAAATCTTGGCAAAAAGGAGTACATGATAACTAAAATGGAGTAAGGAATCACAAATCTGAGAACGAGAGACGTTCTCAAAAATATTTGGCAGATGGGCATACTAGACGTGTGGGATTAAACTGAGAACGAGATACGTTCTCAGGAATCGCTAAAGAACTATCAAACGCACAACCAGGAAATGCTAAAAACGAATGCACAAAACAAAAAAAGGGAGCAAACAACAATCATGAAAACATAATGAGTATATTAGAAATCGTCATTACAACACCCAAGCGATCAAAAAAAAAAAAAAAAAAAAAAACTTCTACATTTTATCTAGAAAACAGGCAATAGCATCCCTTTGCTCAGCACATCTTGGCAACAAAAATCATAAGCTCTTGGACCTATACTATCCAGCTGCCTAGAAGATACATCAGCATTAGAAAGATCAGCCAGCACCTAATTAAAGATCAACAGTCGAACCCAGATAAACATGGTCCAGAGGAATCTCTCACCGCTTACTCAAGCCCTGTGGTGGTCCAGAACATAGAGAAAGAAGGGTCAGAAGTAGGTTGCAAACCAGACGACGAATAAAGTACCCTAGGCATAGTATTGACCTGGAAGAGGTAATAAATAAATAAACAGTTTGAAAAAGACTAACCGATAGATGCTTGGAGAAAAAGCAAGAGAATCGCCATCTCTCTCTCTCTCACAAAGAAAAAAAAAAAAAAAAAAAAAAAAAAAAAAAAAGAGCAGCCCAAGGGGCTGAAGGTCAACAACTCCCCTCGATTGATGGACAACTGACCACCGGGGAATGAACCGGTCGGTCAGCGACAAAAAAAAAAATATAGAAGCAGTCAAAGGAATGACCGACCAAGTTAGGCGTCTGGTCACCAACTGTCTGCCAACGAGCGAACCAGTCGCCTAGCATCGATGTAGGACAGCCATTAAGGGGGAGTGGTGAAACTTAGGGGCAATAAAAGAATGACCTGATGTGGACTATCCTGGACATAGAACTGTCCCAAAGAAACAACAAGAACCGAACAGAGAGTGGGGAACTAACGGCAAAATGATCAACACAAGGAGCCAAGGAACCACTCGTAAACTGGAAAGAGATAGCAAAACACATCAAAATGCATTGGTTTATTTTCTCCAAAAAAAAAAAAGAAAGAAAAAAAAAAAGAAGAAGAAGAAGAAAGAAACCGTATTCTGACGTATTGATTTTCCAAAATACGAAGGGAGAAATACGAAGCATAATACATAAGCGGGTGAAAGGATGAGTTTACCCCTTCATTTAAAGTCCAATTAACCATATTCTGACGAAAGGACCTCAATTGGAAAGAAATTGAAAATCAATGGACCTATAGTGTCCAGATTAAAAGTCGGGGACTAATTTTGAAAAATCAATATAGTCGGAGGACCATTGCTGGAATTAACTATTATTATTATTATTATTACTATTATTATTATTATTATTATTATTATTGTTGTTGTTGTTGTTGTTGTTGTTGTTGTTGTTATTCTTATTATTATTGTTATTATTGTTTTTATTATTGTTTTTATTGTTGTTGTACGATAGATTAGTTCGAGATACTTTCCTCAGACATTGACTTCGCGAAATCTCAAGAAAGTAGGAGACTAGATGATGGATCAAGGAAGTTCAAGGACACACGGCACGACAATCGTTATACCCTGCACCACAGCGCGCATAGCACTGTGCGCCTCGCGCCTCCCAAAATGACGTCGTTTTGGTAAGTTATGTAGGCAGTTGACGTGATTATGTGTATTTGTTTATAAATTATGTGTATTTGTTTATACAATTATGTGTATTTGTTTATACAATTATGTACATTTTTTATACAATCATGTACATCTATTTTATACAATTATGTACATCCGAAACAGAAAATTTATGTATATTATGTTAAAAGTTGATGTTTATTATGTTAAAATTTTATGTATATTATGTATTATGTTAGATTATATGTATTATCTTTTAAAAAAAAATATGTGTATTTTGTTATACAATTATGTACATTCATGTATATTATGTGCATTCTAGTATAAAATTATGTACATATTTGAACATGAGATGTTTTTTTAAAGAAAATTAACCACCAACACAGGGTAGCGAAATTTCAAAAAAAAAAAAAAAAAAAAAAAACTGAAACGACGTCGTTTTGCATCAGGGCGCACAATGCAATGCGCACCTTAATCTCGTTTAATTAAGGAATTCATTTTTACTTCAAAAGAAAAAAAAAAAAAAAAAAAAAAAAAAAAAAAAAAAAAAAAGGGGGGGGGGGGGGGGGGGGGGAGGGGGGGGAATGAAATTCAAGGTAAATTTTTTAGAATAAGAAATAACGATAATAAAGACATGAATAATCAAGACTAAAATAAAACCATGCCTGACAGAACTCATCAACCATCAAACATCTCATTGAAAGGAACATGTGTCTGCAGGATACACACATGGGAGATCATTATTTCTGCACCTCTTTACTGTTTTATGTTGAAAATCCGAGCTCTGTCTATATATAATATAATATAAATCCCCAAGCTCTGTCTATATAATATAAATCCTCAGAACCTCATTGAGAGAGTATAATAATAAATAAAAACATATATGCTAAGAGAATACATACTTCTTTTGCCCAAGCAGTTTAGCTATACAAGCCTCTACTAACCTCCTCTATGCAGGCAGCAAGCAAGCAAGCAAGCAAGATTTCAACAATAAATTTTCGGTATTCTTCGACTCAAACTTTCCACTCTCAGATTTTTGCTTGACATGGCATCTTTCAGTGATACAAAGCTGGGAACAAGAGCAATAACTTCAGACTTCCACTTTGCCAGGGCTTTGAAGTCTCTGAAAGTTCCCTTCCTTGGGTTATAAGAAGCCAGAGAATTAGAACTGCACATGAGCCACATATCACCATTGTTCAGGAATTTAACGGGTTGCCGCAGATTTTCCACTTTCAGACCACAATAGAACTTTATGTCTATGCTGAATTCTCTACTCCAGGACTCCTTCACTCCATAATCTTTCATCACCCAAACCTCCAAGCAAGCATCATCATAAATATAGCACAAACAGAAATGCCCTCCAAGGGTACCAATATTTATCCAGGAAACTTTTTTAATATAGTTTGCATTGAAGTGAGGAGGCGAGGGTAGAGTTCTGAATTGCTCAGTGTTCAAGTCAAATGAACATATTTGCTCAGAGGTTTTAGCAGTTTCAATGATCCAGTGCAGAGAACCATTGATAAAAGGATCAAATGATCCCCCTCTCTTAGGGCAGGGAGCTTTCCCTATCCTCCTCCAGGAATCTGACCCAAGTGTGTAAATCTCAGCTGCCATTTCTTTTGAAACACTGTTCGTGACATGGTTAACAGATACCGAACACAGGAATCGAACAACTTTGTACTGTTTAGTCTTTGGACAGAATCCAAAACCAGACAAGTAGTAAGTAGAATCTGGTGCCAATGGAGTTGGAGGAGGAAGAACGACAGATTCACCAAGAATAGGATTGCACACATAGTAGAAAGGTTTAGGCAATGAAGAATATAAACAAAGCAGGCCATTACAAGAACCGACAAAAGTAACATGCCTGCTCTGGAAGCAGAATTCGGCATTCTGCTTAGTTAATTCATGATGAGAACGACAAGGTGAAGGAAATTTGTATGGACCTGTGCTGTCTGAAATGGCATGAGAGGTTTCATCAAGGTCAATTGTGTAGAAGTAAAATCCCTTATTTCCACCATAACTTTGAAGAATCAGGCTGGCTGTGGTGGAAGGAGCTCTGGCAAGATGTACATTAGCAAAGTAAGGATCTTTGAGCATTTTAAGGAACTTCTTGCAAACACTTCTGCAGCAGATTATAGTCTTGAGAGGAAGTCTTGACAGTATGTTGCATATTATTTCGAACGGCAGTTTGAGAATCTCAAAAGTAATTTCACCGACCATTCCTTCTCTCTCAATGTCCTGTGGTTCATTAACTCTATTGCAATTCCGCTTTCTGTCATTAGTGGTGAAATCATTTGCTCGTCTTTTCAATCCAAGAAGAGCCATCATCGACCAAGTAGCTATTCTCTGCCAAGTATTTCTGAAGACTGAGCCACTTGTAGAACTGAAGAGATTGAACTCTCAACCAAATAATTCCTGCTCCACCACTGTTGTTAAGAAGCAACAACTCTTTCCAGAGTAAACAACAAGCTTGTCAGTAATGGTAAAAGTGTACAATTTCCATAACTGGGCAAGATAGAATTTCCATTTTCCATGTACTGATAAACGGAGTAGTTTCATACAAGTTTCAGGGTTATTCAGCAATAATATATGAAAACATTTGACTTATTATATACTCCGTAGCACATAAAGGCAACATAATGCATCAAGAAGCATTGCTAGAACACAAAATATCAAATCAAATCCATTGTTCCATACAAAGAAACAAAAAAAATGATAAGCATGCATACAAAAGAAAGATGCTCACAATTAAAGACAAAATCCATACAGTTTCAAAATCATGAAAGACTGACAAATTTTGTAGATCCAAGATGAAAATTATTCCCAATCAAAAGTATAGGGCATGAAACCATGAAATCAGTAGCAGATCAGTGCCCTGTCAGAACCAGTACGTGCTGAAGAAATATGAGCTTGGCAAAACAGTATTAACTATGTTTTTTTTCTATATATCATTCAAAGATCCTATCCCATTTGGTGCATCCCTGAGAAAAAGAAGCCTATAAGTAAAAATAATACATTAATACCTTTTATACTAGCTTGTTACAAACTTGTCAAGGGGGTTAGTGGCAGCCCACCTAGACAAATGTGCATTTGTCCACATATCTTTCACATTCAAATTAGACCATTGAAGACCTACTTAAAAGAGCATTGCACTCTAGCAACCTCATATAGTATTCTTATAAGGCATACTAGTAGAGACTCTGTTCAGTTAATTCTCAGACGAGTTACTTTTAATCCATCAGAGATATTCACCTAATTACATCAATGACTAGTACTCACCTAGTAAATTATACTAGGAGTGACTTTCATTGGTTAATTCTGAGAAGATCTTATTTTAATCCATCACAAATTTTTGGTTGATTACAGCAAACGAGATATGTTCGTCGTCAAAATAAATTTCCCTTCCAGGAATTAACAATTACTGACCATCAGATGATACATAGAGAATAAATTCACAGAAATTAACATATACTTACCTCAAAATACTCGACAATTCTGGCATCTATCAACATAATTAACTCAATCTTAGATAAAAACAACAAGAATTACTCATAATCATGAATTATCTTCTCGGATTTAACCAAATAGATTTCTATTAATTCAGATACACAGAATTAAACGGAAACGAGAGGGCAATACCGTGTGAGAACCGGAATTTTAATCGGAAGCCAGTTTCTCTGTAATCTTGCGCCTTCCTTCGCTCCTCTAGATATAGACTGCAAATTTTGACAGAATTTCCGATTCGTATGTAATACGCGAATCTGTATAAATTATAAATGAAGAAATTGAGAAAAATTTTGCGAGTCTTTGAAAGGGGGATATGTGTATGTTAAGCTCTGACAATAGAAGACGCGTGGAGCGGTTAGGTGGACTCAGCTCATATAGGTATCAGACGGCAGCTGTATTGAGTTAGTGGGCCAAATTATTGTGTGTACCACTGGGAAAAAAAAGGGGGCGTTATATCGTGGACCGCGGTACATATGCACCGGCAGTAAAAACGACGTCGTTTTTTTAAATAAAGAAATTGTGCGCTGTTAGTGTTAACAGAGTGTGATTTTTTTGTATGTTAATTACCAACTAACACTACAGTATATCTAAATTGACACTACCTCACGTATTATTTTTATATTATCAAATGAAACTGATGTTATATCAAAATGATACTATAGTTGTGGTGAAATGAAACTTCAGTGTATATAAAATAAAACTGAATAACATTTCACATATTTGAGTATATATTGTACAATGAAGTTGTAATTAAATCAAAATGGTCATGTAGTTGTGTTTTAATAAAACTATTGTTGAGGACAACTATGAGGATGAGAACAAAGAAACAGATCTTTTGCAAACCTTGAGAGGTCCAATGATGAAAGCAAGGACGAAGATATTTCATGAAGTTTTGAATGGCCTTATTGAAGGCGTAACTGAAGCTAATCAAGAATATGAAGATGGAGTTGATTGGAAGGTGATCAATCTGATTTAGGAATAATTTGAAGAATAAAAAACGAGTTGAGGTCCATACCTTATAAATCGACACTTGGAGTTCTTTTTCTTGCAAATAAAAGTTTAAGACTATTTTAGACCGTCCATATGCTATTTAATTTGTAAAGTCCATATTAGGCTTATAAATCCTAAATTCAATTAGAATTTAGTTTTTTATAAAACCTATTTGACTTAGTTATCCTAGTATTGTGGCTAGTTGCATCTTTTAAGCTAGTATAGCACTAGAATAGCTCTTTTTGAACTTAAAAAGCCATTGATGTAGGGGCTTGCTAAAGTGTATAAATAGTCTTGCTATTAATTTGTTTGACAGACAACTTTGATAGTAGTAAATTCAAGAATATTGTTGTGGCAATTTCTTTTCCTTGAGTTCTTGAGGAGTATTTTGACTTATCTTGGAATTTATCTCCTAAGTGGCGTCAACTCTTATCTCCATCCTTGGAGTGGCGAGCCTTCACACAACCACCTTCCTTCCTTTGCTTCCATCGCCCAACCATCTTTCCTTCTTGACCAGAGCCCACAACAACTATAGTATATATAAAATAAAATTAAATAACATTTTCACATATTTAAGTCTATAACTATCGAATAAAACTGTAGTTATATTGAAATGAAACTATAGTTGTGTTGAACTGAAATTGCAGTGTATACAAAATAAAACTGAATAACAGAGTTACTTTTTGCAGAAAGGTACGAAACTACAGGAAACGGATGCTGTTTCTTTTCATTAAACAAACGACGTCGTTTTGATGCGCGGTGCATAATCGATTATGCACCGCGGTGCATGATATAATATGCCCTTAGTAGGCCTATTGGGATTTTAATGGCCTCATTAGAATTATAATTTTATTATCCAGTTTAGTTGTTATTGGGCAAGGCCCAAATTGAAATTACTATGATCATAAATCCAATAAAAATGTACTTTGCCTTTCTAAAGTGCAATAGTTATTGCGTGGACCGGGATCCAAACACAACGACGTTTTACATATTTTTTTTTCACATGACTCACTGTAATATACATTTTTATAACTCATAATGTACACTATTCTAAAGCATAATGCACATTATTCTAACTCATAAAATTTGATTTGCAAGTCTTGGAGTAATTTTGGAAGTAATTCATAAAAGAAAGAGGGATTTCACACTTCGTAAGGCTGAGAGTAAAGAGATACCAATATTAAGATTACTCAATTTTCCTTTATTTAACACCAATTTGACGGAATAACAAACGGGGGACTAAATTGAGTAAAAACGCAAAAGTCTGGAACTACATTAGGTCACCAAAATCGTTTAGGATGAAATTGAGAAAAATCCACTATAGTCGAGAACGATTTTGGGTATTAACTCTTTAAAATTAGTTGTTACATTCTCCAATCACCTCCATTTGTACCTACCTATAATGGTTATTTTAGCTTTAATGGAGTTCAATTTGTCAATTATGTGACAAAATGGTGAACTTGCTATTACTACAAGGATTAAGTTGCAATACGCAATGTATGAAGAACAAAAGAGGAATTTGTGTTATTTGATTCAAAGAACTTACGAACAAAACAAGTTATATTCCCTAGAACTAGAATATTAGGACAAAGTAGGGAATTTCCCCTAAAACAGCAAATCCTAATCCTATCATATGTGTAAATTAAATTTAATCCTTCTCATGCGGCAAATTATATCGTGCACCACGGTACATAATCGATTATGCACCGAGTTTCAAAAATGACGTTGTTTTGTTTAATAAAAGAAACGGCACCCTTTACACGCCGTTCTGCAAAAGTAATTGTGTTATTCAGTTTCATTTTGTATACACTGCAGTGTCAGTTCAACACAACTACAGTTTCATTAAATATTTATACACTCAAATATGTGAAAATGTTATTTAATTTTATTTTATATACACTATAGTTTCATTAAAACACAACTACATGATCATTTCAATATAATTACAACTTCATTGCACAATATACACTCAAATATGTGAAATGTTATTCAGTTTCATTTTATATACACTACAGTTTCATTTCAACACAACTACAGTATCATTTTTGATATACCTACAGTTTCGCTGGGTAATATAGACTCAAATATATGAAATTATTACTCAGTTTCATTTTGTATACATTGTAATTTCGTTTCAACACAATTACAGTTTCATTTCATTTCAATTGCAGTTTCACTTGATAATATAAAAATAATACGTAAGACAGTGTCAGTTTAGATACACTATAGTTTCAATTGGTAATTAATACATAAAAAATACACACTTTGTTAACTATAACGGCGCGCTATTTATTTACTTAAAGAAACGGTGTCATTTGTTATCACGGTGCACGTACACCGCGGTCCACAATATAACAACCCTCTCCTGGGCTGACTTAGCTTTATCATTGGGTTCATGTGTCCCGACTCATATTGGCCCAATGTTATTGCTAAAGGTCCAATCTTCTTTGGCACGATCCAAGCCTATCCATGGGAAAATTATTGTGTGGATCACGGCTCAAAAACATCGTTGTGAATATTATAAGTAAAAATAATATACATTATGTGTTAAAGTAATGTAAATTACGTGTTAGAATAATGTACATTATTTATTAGAATACTGTACTTTACGTGTTAGAACAATAAAACATCTAGGGTAATATAATTACATTATATTTTAGAATAATGTACATTAAAAATTATAAAAATGTATGTTACAGCTGAACATGCAAAAAAATAAAATTAAGCAAAACGACATCGTTTTTGAACCGTGATCCACACAATTGTGTGAACCACGGTCCACACAATAACTATTGCTATCCATGTGTCCATAAAGCTATCAATTAGATTTTCTTCATTTCTTCTATTATAAAAGTATAGAGTTTGATCATTCATTTCAATCAAAATAACCAAGTATTAAATTCTCTCATCTAACCATTCAATTCATTCACTTATACTACTCGTTTGAAATTAAAGCTCTTTAAAAGCCTTAAATAACTTTACTAACTCATTGTTTCAAGCTTTTTTTTTTTTTTTTTTTTTTTTTTTAAGTGGTGAGAGAAACCGCTACCATTATTTAATGAGGGCACACTTGGTAAACACCTCTCTTGTGTAACAACCCACAGACTTATTGCTTCAAGCTTCTTAACTGTACTCTTGAAAACATGCACTAATATATTTCCAATCATTTGCTTTCAAAGAACATTCAACACAGTGGCGGATCCAGAAATTTTGTCCAGTGAGGGCGAAAAATTACATTTTAAAAAACAATGAAACACTTAAAAGAAATATAACCATAAATAATTAAATATTACGGAGTATTAGATATAGACGAAAAATAAAACACATTAAAACTTATAAAAATACTTATAACAAAATATGAAACATAACTAATTTGATAAAATAATTCAAATAGAAAACAATTATAAATTACACATCTCATTATTAATATAAAAAAAGTCATATATATATATATATATATATATATATATATATATATATATATATATATATATATATATATATATATATATATTAAAAAAAAAGTCATAAAGAAGTTGTTAAAAAAGCCAAACAAGAGGGATTCAAACCCCAGACCCTTCCTAGCATAAGACACACGCCTTGCCAACTCGCCCAGCTTGTATATTATTTATTTTTATCTATTTTCATATATTTATATCTAAAACATATATATATATATATATATATATATATATATATATATATATATATATATATATATGTATGTATGTATGTATGTATGTATGTATGTATGTATGTATGTATGTATGTATATACATACAAGGGCTATATATGGGGTGGGGGTGGGGGTGGGGGTGGGGGTGGGGTGAGTGGGGGCAGCTGCCCCCACTGTAGGTCCGCCCTGATTCTACATTTAAAGTGTGCCAATTTGGAGCCTAAAGCTTTGATGGAGCCATGGGGTTTAGGTCTAAAAGATTGCATGATTTAAGCTAGGTTGGAACCTACAAAAAGAAAAGACTTTTAAGGTTAAGGAGAAGGGCATCATAGGGGAATGAGGGGGCACACCGCACATTCCCAACTAAGGCGGCGTAGTTGGTGGTAGCCATGCTAGCCCCGTTGTGCTGGCGAGAGCCGACAAGCATGTTGTACTATCAAGGGGTATGAGGTGCAAAAAAAAGGATGCACAACCACCAAGACTCAAACACCTGACCTACAAGTGCATATCTACACCTTACTCCAACTAGTCTACCATAACCCAATCGTTATGCGTTAGACCCGTGTCCAGCATGCTTGCTGGACACGGGTAACAGTGCTGTTAGGCAATGTTATCTCCTCTTTTAAAAAAAAAAAAAATTCAGACCGCTTCGTTATAGAAGTATATGTTCATAATTTTATTACT